ACATCTTCCAAAAATCCCCACTTTTCAATACCAATGAAACATCAAGGGGGAATAACGCATCTGCATTTCTTACGTTTTATTTCTTGATGATATGTAGCAGTGTAAGACTAAGACGTTTTTTTTTCGATTTATGACTGTTCGAAGAAGATCATGTGGTGTGACTTTTAGGACACTGTAAGCTTTCATAGAGCCCACAATTATCAATTTGTAGAGTACTTCTCTGAAGAAATTACATATTCCTCACCCAAATTTTTCACCCCTTTTACGGCGAACAGTAAATTATACAACAACCATCGATCATTAGAAGTTAACCCTAAATATCAGTACCGGTCAATATTTACCAGCGTTGCATAAAGTGTGTTCATTATATTCAACAATTTATGAGTTCTATGACAATAGACATCAAATCCTAAAATAATCAGTTCTCATTTCATAAATGTCTTCAGTATTATCGACATAATTTTTCGACCTAAATTGCACAACTTGTCGAACGCCAAAACGCCTAACAACACATCTTCAATGAACAGTATTGAAACAACGTAAACAAATATGCTGCTTACATCGACTGCACCTCGCACTTACTCTTTTAGATTTGTTTCGAGCATATGCGGTACTTGCACGTTTACCGATTTTCTATAACATTCAATACAACGTCTACGACGTGACAGAGTGAATTCGAGAATGCGCTTGGGTATCGACTGTGGAGCGACTTGATCTTGTAAGTATTTGAGATAAACATCCATCTTGAAATCGGTGAACGAAATTTCCTTCACGCAGTCTTTGTAGAGTTTTCACGCGTTCATCAGGCACATATCCGTCACCAGGTGGAAGAAAAGGCAAATGTACCTGAACTGTGAAACTAGACATTGCGAAGCAATATCGCAGCAAAGTGCACTCACCATTTACACGTCTTCCTGGTGTACAACCAATAGGTAGCCATGTAGCCAATGAAATCGACGAGCAGCTTGTGCCTGTTGTAGCTCTCCACGACTTCATAATCCTAAAAAAGAAGGGGTTTCTAAAAAAGGGATGGCTGCTCTAATGATTTTACAGGTGTGGTAGCTTCACATATGAATGTCTTCATTTTTTCCACGGTGGAATCCTCTCAATCAGTGTCCTTCTGAGTGCCTTGGATATTTGTCTGCTCTGTAATCAATTCCCAAAGATCGTTCATGAGCAGTTCGTAGAAATGAGCTGGTTGCCGGCACCCAGTAACAATTTTGTGCTGAACACCTGCTGCGGGGCATCAAAGGGCAGAACGGTGGGTGGTTGGACATTGGTGATCCAATCACCAAGTATAAAGTCAACATTCGAAAAAGCTCTTTGTGCATCGTCAATTCCGTAATAGTCATCCTCAGAGCCTTGTGAAGTGTGCACGTTTTTGACCATGCTCGCGTCTGATTCGTAACCAGTGTCCTCGTCAGCGCTTACAGCCAAGCCTTGGAGCATGGTTTTCAATTCTTCATCTTCAAAACTTGCCAGTCTTCTTCTCCTGAGACTTCACCGTCTTTTTTTTGACATGACGGCGCTGAAAGGTAAGCTCTTGAATATTCACAAGCAACATAGCAAGATGTAGTTGTCATGGAGTAATAAACTCAATTTAATAGTAAGATGAAGAAGAGAAGCTTTGAGCGCCTTGGCTTTGCTCTATGTGATTGATTTGCTTGATTTACACATATGGCAAAAGTTCGCAGCAAAAGTCTTCTGTAATCTAAAACTTCCCACCTTTCTCGTGTGCATTAATATATGAATTATTAGAAATGAACAAATCCCTGCTATAAAAACTTAGTTATGGTAGGAATTATAGATGATCTGGCATCACATGCATTTTGCAATGGCTTCTTTTGACATACTGCTCACTGTTTTCCAGGTAGTCACTATTATAACTCTTGAATGTTGTTTATATTAAGATGTATTAAAACTGACCGACTCATATCCTTATACTCTTTATTATTCTATATTCTTAAAATTGACGGTCGGCAATTAAACCATCTTTACTTTGCTGATGAAATCATCCTCATAACACCAAACGAAATTCGATTAATGAATCGAAATAGATCCTTTCATTATTATTCCAGCCAAATTGTCATGTGGTCTGGTAAGAACACTTGTACAGCTCGATACTCGTGTTTCGTCCTTACAGATTCGTCAGACGGGCAGAACCCGTCATCTTTCGATATTTTTATAGTCAGCTCTCTCGGGAGCTCTACACCCTTATAAAGAGTCATCGAAGACGAACGTTTTGCACTCTATATCAAGCAAATTTTCACCTAACACAGAGCATTTGCGCAATCGAATGCTCTTTGGCTGGTATTTTTATCATATTATGTCTTCATTTCGAGTGCTTTATTAATACCAGCCAAAGAGCAGTGGAGTGCGCAAACACTCTGTATTAGGTGAAAATTTTGCTTCTGATAGAGTGTGAAACGTTCGTCTTCGATGACTCTTTACAAAGGAGTAGAGCTTCCGAGAGAACTGACTATAAAAATATCAAAAGACGGCGGGTTCTGCCCGACTGACGAGTCTGTAAAGACGAAACAGGTGTATCGGGCTGTACAAGTGCCCTTACCAGACCACATGACAATTTGGCTGGAATAATAATGAAAGGATCTATTTCGATTCATTAGTCGAATTTCTTTGAGTTGAGAGTCGTCTTCGATTAACAAGCACTCCAGAATGTCAATAATCATTTTTGAGTCATGCATGTGCTTTGTTATGGACACTTATGCAGTGCAATACACTTGTTTCGGCCTTGGCAGCTTCACTAGTTCCGCAGTGCCTATCGACTTAGCCAACCGTTTTTTGGGGGGTACCACCCCTTTACATAGAGAAGGCGCAGACGTACTATTCACACGAGCCATAAAGTGAAAGAAATCAAGAAATGGGCAGCGTTGTACATTTGATCGCGCTCGGTTGATATCTACGAAATATCATACCGTTCCTGCAACTGGCGAGGCTGTGCAAGGCCGAAACACGTGTATCGCGCTTTAGAAGTGCCCATAACAGACCACATGCATGGCTAAAAAATGATTATCAGGCATCTCGAGTTTGGAACGTGATCTTCAGAAAACACTGGGAAAGAAACAGTAAAATATTTCATAAGTATCAATCAAAACCAACCGAGTGTGCAACTTCGCCATTTCGCGGTTTCCTTCACTTGATGGTACGTGTAAATAGTGCTTGTGGGTCTCCTCTATGTCCTGAGGTTGTGCTCCCCCAAAAGGGACTAACTAAGACGAAGGGCACTGTGCAACCAACAAGGCTGCCAAGGCCGAAATACGTGTTTGAGTGCCCATGACAGACCAAATGTCTGGCTCAGAAATAATTATCAGGCGTATCGAAATTTGAGCGTGATCTTGAGAACACACTCGAAATAAACATTATGGCACTCCAGAGTGGCTTTAAAGAAGATGGAGATGCGAAGAGCAATGTGATATGCTGGTGTCAAGGAACTGATTAGTAATCAAATCATTCCTTTCGGTATTTGAAGTCTCCTAAATCTATAATTTCAGTGATTTAGTGACAAAACCTTCCTTCACCCAAACATCTCATCTTTTCTAGAAAATCGGGATTATACTGTGATTATATGCATTTGATCCCGATCGGCTCCTACATGGCATCAATGTTACCATGACCGGTTTCTGATTATTCATTCTCCATTGTTGGTCTCATTTGATAAACAGTTATCTTTCCGTGTTGCAGTCCATACAAAGAATATACCTGCTCCTTCGATTGTAATGAATCCTCACTTATTTGTATCAATATTTGGCAGATAAGACTATGCATAGAGGACTAATGCGTCGATCTCTTTAGTAGCTGCATCTTAAAAAAGCAATTTAGAGAGCTTCATATTGAGTTGGGCCATAATTCTTCCGCACAACTGTTTATTTAGTTTTTCTCCACTTATCGGGTTATTACAGAAAGCTGCATAAGTTGGATAATGCTCTAATAGGCATTTGGATACAGCCGTAGCAGCATCGCTAGCCAGCCATTAAATGAGATGGATTACCACAAAGTAATGATTCAAAAGACACCTCATGCATTGACCGACGACGACCATGCAAAATGCGTGAATATCTGAGAAAGTCTTCTGCAGTCACCGCACAAGCACAACTTTCTCAAGCTGATCATCATTGGTGATGAGTCTTGGCTCCACGGCAAGAATCAGACACGTCACGTTTACTGGCTGATGGCGGCAAAAGCCCGCAAACTCTAGTAAGGCGAAACTCCTTGCCTATAAAATTATGCCCCCATTCTCTGGATTGGTAGGGCAAGCTGTTTAGAAGCTGTAAAAAAGTGAACACTGCGGACGTTGCCGGAGAAGAGCTGGGAAAGTAGGTCGAAGCAGTGCGAGAAACGTCTAGAACGGATCAAAGTCGCTCTTTTCCAAGATAACGCTAGACGTGCTGTTGCAAAGTCGACTCGCCAGATGTTGTAAAAGTGAACTGCACCATCGCACCCACGATGTTGCCCTAATATTGCTCAGTAGGATATCATTCTACCTGCGTTTTCAAGTAGCATTTGCGGGACAAAAAATGCAACCAGCTCAAAGGTGTCCTCATCGACGTCTTTTATCACCAGCCTCATTTTTCTTAAGAGGTAGGCATCCAATTTTTGTCGGGGTAAATAATTGCATATTATAGCTAATCATGATGAAGATATTGTTCGTCAATTTATTTTTTCAGTAGTGTAGAGTGTTGTGCAAAAACGTTTCCGTCGGCCGGGATTCGCACCCAGATCTCACTCTTGCCGGGAGCGTATGCTAACCGTTGCACACGGACGCTCTTTTGCACAGCTCTCTTTCTGCGCTACAATGCGTTATCTGTCAACAGCCAACCGTCTACGGTCTGTCGGGGCCGTCACTGTCGACACTAAACCCACTTATCTTAACACATATTGGGTATCAATAATCAATCAAAAATCATTTTTATTTGACCGCCACTTGCGGTGTTATGATGTCTCAATATATCAGATAATGTAAAGCGCTGTGCAAGAACGTTTGCGTCACTCAGGATTCGAACCCAGATTTCACTCTTTTCGGGAGCGCATGCTAACCGTTGCACCACCGACGCGTCGGAAGAGTGAGATCTGGGTTAGAATCCCGGCTGACGTAAACGTTTTTGCACAGCACTCTACACTATTGGGTATATTATAATATCATAACACCGCAAGTGGCGGTCAAATAAAATCATTTCTGATTTATTTTTTCCTGATAAGTAATAGGTAAATCAACAAATATATCAACAATGCGAAAGAAATTATGAGAGATCCCAATACTGTTTGTTGTAATGACAATAGGAGCTCTATTGTACCGTTACATCTTGATTCCATGGAAATTACAATTGATGAGCATTTAAAACGTCTCAATAAGGATAGAATATTTTGTTGGCTAGAATACAACTTTCACACCAACTGAACCACTTTCACTGTTCCGAAACAATCGAACAAATAGAGAACTCTGCTAAAGAAAGAAGTCCGCTCAGAACGGGCCATTAGAGCAAATAATTCAATACTATGCACTGTTTCAGTGCTGAAGCAGGCAAATGAGCCATGCAGCCCTTCGCAAAAACACAAGAAGCACCTGATTTTGATTACACACTACATAATTTGTTCCTGTGCCACTGGATATTCATTTCGATCTCATCCAGCTAAACCAAGGTTTGATGAGTGACAGAGTTTTCACGTAATTTGATATGATTTTGCAATTCCCGTATAGAGTATTTTTATGACTATCACAAATCTATTTGATAACTGACAAGTAGGTGTAGTGGGAAGTTCAGTGAAGAATGTGATCATGCTCGAGTTGCCCTAAATTTCTAAAGATAAAAGTGGTCTTAATTCTATAAAAAAAAGGACGGATAAACACCGCACTTCTTGGAAATGTAATATTTTCCAGCACAGACCGCTCTTCTCCATGAACCTGTCTTACTATGGAATTTTAGGGTACTTTGCCACATGGAACCATATTTAATTATCTCTGTGTCAAACTTCTCGCCCTTGGATTATCGTTTATCGTTGCAATAACAGTACTAAGCTAGCAAAACTTGATATATTGGAGATTATAATGAGAAGTATAGTACAATGAGAAGCTTAGTAAAAGGAACAGTAGCGAAGAATTACACCCAGTAAAAGATTAATTGTAACTTCCGTCCCCTTATACTCACTTCATATGGGGCGGGGTCAGCGCAGAATGATGCAAAGTTAAACTTGAGTACGATGACTCTAGAATAAGATTACAGAACATTCATTCATTATTCATTTATTTGGAGCTCAAGTGCCAAATTACGCTCAGTCACGCTATGAATTTGAAAGTACAATGAAAGGAAAATCGAATATTGAAAGTCACGAAGTGCCGACGCACATCCAGCAGTCGAAATCGAATGTGCATCGAAAGTTCAACCGGCTTTCAAGACACAAATGCATACATTTACGAAAAGAGAATGTTTGAGAATGTTCGACCTGAGTATGACAATGCAAGTCTTAGTGGATCACACTTAAGAACAGTCACTCCGGGTTCTGCCCATATTCAGCAACCTTGCTGCCATTTCAAAATTCGTACTGCCGTGAAGGAAATGGGCATTGAGAGCCGTGGTTGTGCCTATAGTGGCTGATGTGGCAAACAAAATTCATGGATCTGCAGAGTGGAGCCATATAAACTCTGTTTTCAAACCTAAACTTTTATTCACAAAACTGACCAACCAAAAAAAACTAGTGAACGCTTTTCCTTCTTGGTTTTTTATCAACTCCAACCGCTTCTTCATCAAGCGGGCAGATTGGCGTAGTATCTGATTGAAACAGGACTAATAAAAGTGAATGGAATGACTTTCATTACCTGAAAGCAGTCACTAAGTGGTTTATATGTGATAGAATTTACAGATGTTATCGTTTAATGGCGAACCGCTGCCGCCAGTTGCCTGGTTCTTCCTTCGCGGCCGGCGCTGTAACAGTATCTTTATGACGGTTTGTACGTGGATTGCACACGTGGATTGCACACAAATCATTCTTTCAACATACCCCACGCATTTTTGTGCTTCTGATTGGAAGTGGCGACGATGTCGGCTTCATTCTGGCGTGCTTGTAGCAAGCTGAGCATTGCGCACCGCTCTCGGATTTCCCTCCTACAACAAATATCAAATCTGACACTGAAAATTTCGCTCAAAAATGGTCATAAGCAGGGCTTGTGAAAGATGAAAGTTTTTGAGAAGACACTTGAATTCTGAATGAAAAGAAGTCTCACAATGCGATCGACCTCTTTCTTGGAGGGAAGCTCGTCTGAGGCCACAGGCGTTAGTAAGGAGTCTCGCCCCTGAATAATAACTATTTAAAAGAAAACAGCTTTTTAAGTTTGGAAAAGCAAAATTATTCTAACGATAGCGTGACCTGTGTATTGTCCAACTTCGGCTCCGTGACAGTTGGATCGCCTAGATCCTAGGAGATTTTAGCGTCCATTGATAAGAGACTGGAAGTTTAATAATAATTCCAAGAAAAAAACGACTCACACTAAAAAGTTTACGGAGAATGTGCAAGAATAAAATTATGCTACTAAGCTGAAATACTCGAGCGAATAAGAAAATCACCATGGCGAGTCTAGCTGATGGGATGGAGAGGAACAAAGTGAAGATATGACGGTACTACTCGTATATAGACCCCTTATCAATCATATCATTAACCAATCCTTTTAATCATTCATTCTTTGAGAGCATTTGATTGGATCATGATTGAAATTTCACATGTTAAGATAACAAAGTTCAGGTCAAATCGCGATTTCGCCTGTAATAAAAGCGCGGAGCCGTCGCAGAAACATATTCGTACTTGTGCTTGCATCCTACAAGCTTGTTGATGTGTGCAGTCGCAGTTTAGAACTTGTGCATTCGAAGATCAAAAACATTCTACACTCATATTTTTGACACCGTTAATTTAGGAGAGATATTTAGGCGAGAAAATATCGCATACAGCATGTTTTCCCTTTTCAAAGAATATTTTTGCGATTATCCTTGTTATTCTAACATAATCGAGATTTATATGGGCATCGGATTTTGCCAACGAAACAATTACGCAAGAGAGCAGCGTTCTACCACTATGACAATCATCTCCGTAAAATTATGTACACGTCGTTAAAACTCAGCTATTCTGAATAGGAATGGTAGAATCGTGATAATATTGTCGATCGTTTCGGACGTACATTTTAGCACATTATAATTTCTCAGCTTCACTGGCCCATTAGTGTGGTGCCAAGGTAGCGCTATCAAAAGAGTTTTCCCAAAAAGAAAACACCTTTTTGAGCTCCTCGAAACTTTTGCTATCTAAAGAGTACTAGCAGTCTATGGGAAGAGTTTTGTCCAGCGAAATGAAAGCGAAATAAGAAAAAAACCGTAGTCTTGTGGATAATTTTATTTTGGAGTTTACAGCGTTACAAAAGGTGTTATGAGAAACCGACCACGTACGGCTCTAGCCAGAGATGTAAGCCTCCGAATGTTATTAACACTCCTATGAAAATTTCTTTTTCAGTGGGTGATGTCGAATAGTCATTTGTCGCCGTCTAACAGAAAAGTACCAACAGTGTAATTTTACTGTGCGCAGCCCTGTACTTCTAGCACTTTTTTCTTTTTCATCTTTTTCTTGAGAGGCGGTAGAATACTAAATGAGCACGTCTCCTTGCAATCTCGAGGAAGAGCCTGGCTGTGGACGGTTTCAAAGGGCCTCCATTGTTGAATACCGGAGTTGTTTGGAGGTGAGGTTCGGTTCCCGCGCGCCGTGATGAGTATCACAACTCCTCGACCACGAAGCCCCATTAACGTTTGTAGGAGTATCCTTTAACATCAAGTTGGAAGCTTGCCACCAAAAGTGCAGAGTGAGATAAGAGCAGAACTCGGCGCCTCATTTAATCTTTGAACACGTGATAATCCTCTTTAGGAACTCACCTGTCACCAAGTGCGCCAACAAGACCTTTGTTTTATCTCGCTGTGTTAACCAAGTTCGAACCTAATTGGTGTGCTAGGTGCAAGCACCCGTAGACGGTCGTTTTCACAATATTTTACTTTGCGGGTCCCAGACTTTTAGCATATAATCGTTTTTTTCGTCTTCTTCTTGAACCTCGGCTTCAGCCTTTCAACATTAGATAAAGAGTGTCCTACAAATCCAGCCTTTATTAGTATGATTGATACTAAGCTTGCTAGGAAGCTCAAGTCAAGGCACTGACTACTTAGCGATAGCTTTCGAGCATCATTAGGAGAAAGTATACACAAAAATTGGCCAATACAACATTTGCATGTTATACTGATGTTTTTACTAATCATTCTCTCGACTCAGTGGTATTATCATTTATCTACTGATCGAAAGTACATAGTGCAACACCCTGTTCTCTGACTTTCAAATGCTGTATTGATAAGTCTTCTGGTGTACTCATTCTTACTAATATTTGAAGGCCATGAGTTCATGACCCCTTTGGAACGGTATCAGTTGTTTCTATCTTGGAACAACGGGTGTATAGCTCAGTGGCCTAGCATTCGACTGCAGATCGAGAGGTCCGTGGTTCATGTCCGTGTACCCCCTACCTTTTGATTGTTGACTTACTCATTCATTATTAGTTTAAGCCTAAGGGACCGGAATATTTTCCTATTCGTGAGCCTGCATAAGCTAGATATGGAATGTTTACTATAACTGACATTTTGGTGCATTTTTCTTCTTCACAGTAGCGAGTGAATCAAACTTGATATCCACTGTTTCTACTCATCTCGTGCAAAACTCAAGGATGTACAAAATAATTAGCAGTCGTCACCTTTACAAATCGGCTACATAGTATACGTCTTCTTATAGAAAAACGGTTCCATCTATGTTGTCTACAGTTCCGTGCTTTGCTAATAATACCTACGAGTTTCTTAACCTTGAGATCCTTGTTAATCATTTTGCAGTGGTCATCGACTTGAATGTAGAGGATTTGAATATGGCTGAAAAATAGAAGTTTGCTGAGTTATGAATGAAGTTAGGTTAGTGATGATGAAGCTTCTGAAAACACTGATGAGGCGAAAACATGCCCTGAGTTGGGCGAAGGTTTTGCTAAGATCTCCCTGTG